AGGAACAGTTCCAGACTCAGAGCCTCGCTGGACTCAGTACTCTGGCCATCGAGGCAGTCGTTGAGGACACATTGAAGCTGATATGCTACACCAATATGGTGTACACTGTCCTTCAAATGTCCCTGTAAGTCTCCTGAGGCCAAAATCCTGACGGCCCACATCACCTGTGCCTTGGACTTCTTTTGGCACATGGAGCATCGCCGTGTGCCTGTAACGTCTGGACGACTTACATCTGCAGAGACCATCGCAGCTCTGTGAATAAACTTCCCACGTAGTGTCACCCATTTTACATACTCTCACACCACGTGCCAGGGTCTGTGAGTAGGTCCCCTCTTCCAAATGTCATGGCTGGGGCAGAAGACAGAGCTCTCGTGGCACTGGGTGCCACCTCCTCCCAGGACGCCTGTGGTCGTCTTCCTTTGTAAAGCGGTTCTGAAATATTCTGGCTGCTCAGTAGCCTGCCGCACAGGCAAAATTACGGCAAGTTGTGCTCAAGGAACAAGTACAGAGAAGGGCCTCCTTGATCTATATGCAACACGTGATGGAGTTGTCGTCGGAGGCACCAAAGGTGATGCTGTGCTCAGTACCCACTGGGAACAGAAGGCTCCGGCTTGACTTCCACGAGGACCAGCAGCTCAGCGAAAGGTGTGATGAGCAGGTGAGTACTCACTCTGAACCATTACTCTGTGTGAGAAATGGGGCTCCTGGTGGCTTTGGGGGGTCCTGGACGGAGGAGTCTCTTGCACCTATCTATTACAGCTGTGTAACACAGCCACAGGAGAACATCCAGGTTGGCAGGGCACCCCCATGCCAGGCAAGCACCTCAGCACCCATTGCTCACTGGGCGTTAAGGCCACGCTGGAAGACGGCCTTGTTCACATCAACGCGGGGGACGCTCCATGTTGATATCTGGTGGTCAGTGGGAGGCCAGCTTGTGGAGGACTGCTGAGGGGGGACCAGCGCTGACATGGTATCTTTTCCACAGCAGAATGATCAGGTATTTTTGCATGACATGGTATGGCTGCACTCCGTGCCCCTTGGCAAGGCCTTTATCTTTTCAGTCATGTCTGGTTTTCCCTCACCATTTCACCATGGGGAACAAATGACCACATGTCCTTATCTGAGAGTATCTCTGGGCGTAGGATCAGGGGGAAGATACAGATCAGTGAAAATGAGGCCTGAGATCTAGAAAGCTAAATGTTTTACATGGGGTCTACGTGTGGCTGGGATTCCCTGCAGAGGCCCCAAGGACGGCTGCCTTCTCCACACACGAGCACAGCACCACGGTGCCGCTTTCCCCTGTGGTACCTACATGTCACACAGCGTGGTCCCCACACTAGGCCAGGACATCCCCCCCGGTCCCACAGCACTGCCTGGGTGCCTTCGTACCCTCTGGTGCCAAAAGAATCACGGAATCATAGAATCCTAGGTTGGAAGGGACCTCAAGAATCATCTGATCCAACCTTTCTTGGCAAAAACACGGTCTAGACAAGATGGCCCAGCACCCTGTCCAGCTCAGAAGTGTCCAATGATGGGAAATCCACCACTTCCCCTTCTAAAAGGTTTAAATTTATGGCACCTTTACTTTTCTGTTACCGCTTTTAGGCTTACACTTTCCCCTCTAGGCCCAGCAGAGTAATGTGGGTGCAGGAAGGCCTGCGGTTCACCACAGAGGGTCTCTCACCACCCTTGAGTGAGCTGTGGAGGGAATGAAACGGGGTCCTCAGCTCTCCTGCCCCAGCCGTCAAGAGCAGCACCCCACTTCTTATGTCTGGAGCCCCCAACATAGGAAAGACATGGACCTGTTGGAGCGGGGCCAGAGGAGGCCACGAAGATGCTGGGAGGACAGGCTGGGAGAGTCGGGGGGGTTCAGCCTGGAGAAGAGAAGGCTCCGGGGGGACACGTGCTCTGACACATTACTTTCTTGGTGCGTACCGCGGGG